AAGCAAAATTTAGCGAAGAGAAATTTTTACTAAAACGTAATTTTTAACGAAAAATAAAACCTAGTCATAATTTTAATAAAATATTAATTAAAACAAACTCGAAGAAAAAAGAGATCTTAGCGCTGGAGACAAAACCACAACCACTACGTACTGCGAAATAAAAAGGCATGACCCACTCCGAGTATACAGCAGGAGGATATCAGTAAAAAATATTGTGATATTTTCATGTATTCTCAGTTTAGGGTGAGTAAAAAAATTATACAAACGCTTAGTTAAGCATTGATTTATAACTTTTATATCCTAAGTGTAATTAGTTTCGATTGGGTATATTATATTCGAAATTCAAATTTGGTGTATTATACTTGGGGCTTGTTGATTTTATGCGTCAGTTATAAATCAAACTTTTGTTTAGTATTAAGGGAACTACACACAAATGGGTATATATTTATCAATCAAGTGAACTTGGTCACACAGAACAACCGCAGTTTAATTTGAAGACCATCTCAGGACATTGAATGCGTAATGCGCAGTCGATCGATAATTGTTTGAACCAATGCGAGCGTCGTCACTTAAAAAACATCTTAAAATCAACAAATTCAGAAGCGACCTCAAAACTATAACAAATTCAATTTGTCCTATAACAATTAAGAACACACGGATGTGCAAAATATTATATTTGTTGCCTGTTCGCTTGAAAAAATTGTTTAAGTTCACGTTGGACTTAAAATTAGAGAGAAAAGCCGTTATAAATATCTAAATAATGTGTTTTAAAAATGTATTAGTGTCTGAGATCTTTGGTAGAACTTCTTTTAAGATGGTATTTAGACAGCTGACATATTGATATTTTCTCTTCTTTTATCACATTTGAACCTTTTGTATTCCTTATTAAATGATCTTTTTTATATAAAGCAAGATCATCAGCCAAAATATGCAAAAGATCGGTTCACAGCTTCTTCAATACAGTAGCTGTGATAAGATTGAAACTATCTACTTACAGACTTTGAGTAAATTGTATTTCTTATAAATTGCAATAATAACAATAATAACATGCTATGTCTTGGGTTTTTTTTTCATATTCCAATCATCCAAAACTCACTCACAGATATTCGGTAAGAAAAGTATTGGGGATAAAAAACATATAATCTAGGAATGAATAAGTATTACGTCCATTATACAATCATACAAACAAACTTTGATGGATTGGTGGCGATCCTGATCCTGAACCTTTACTTCTTTCAACGAAAAACAAGAAAAAACGTTAACTGCGGTTGCACCGAAACTATACTATCCTTCAAAAATATAAATGCTTTCCATATAAGGACTTGATTTTGATCGTTCAGTTTATATGGCAGCTATATGCTATACTTGTAGTGGTCTAATATTCTGACAAATGAGCAGCTTCTTAGGGAGGAAAGAACGTATATAAAATTTCAGATCGATATCTCAAAAACTGAGGGATTAGTTCGCGTGCATACAGACAGACGGATAGATGGACATGTCTAAATCAACTCTGCTCGTCATACTGATCATTTATCTTATAGCGTCTCCGATGCATCCTTCTAGGTGTTACAAATTTAATATGTCCGGTTCAGTTTATACAACGGTACTGGCCGTCATAAAAATGAGGGTTTTGAATATTAACGGCTGACGATTATTTCACGCTGATAAATTATTTAAAATATTTTGAATGTTTGAGAAATTATTTGTCATATTGTTTTAACCGCCTAATAAGTGAACAAAAAATATTTAAAATATCATAAATGTGTATCGGCTTTTCTTTGGGATTTCCAGTCTAACATCAAAAGTTTTCATATTAGCAATTTTGTGAGAAATGAGTTAGAAGAATAAAGAAAGAACGAAATAATTACAAATTATTTACATAAACTGTTTAGACTACATTCGCCTAAAAGTATGTTAGAGCCCACGATGAGCAAGACCAATTAAAATTCAATCATAAGAAATGCGTTCGCGCTTGAAACGCGTGAAACCTAAAGCGCTCAAAGCGTTCACAGCGATTATAAACACAACAATACTCACATACATACATAAAAACATTCAAACATAAATGAAAGGACATACAAACATATATGTTGTTACGTACAATCGTATCGCATCAAGTTGTAGTTGTACTGAATTTATTTCGTTTTTCTATGCAAACAAGTATCGAATTGTACATAAATGACAATCGACTCGTGAGTGACTGAGCATGCGCAGAGCAACAAAGGATATTTCTCCGCCACAGTGACGTTGGGGAAGTTCAACTAAAATGAAACATAGTGAAGCATGGGACCTTTGTACATAGCGGGAGCCTACAAAGGCATTTTCACTTTACAGTGGCTTAGATACTCACATATGTATGTACCTACACGCAAAAACGTAGCGAAGAGCGAATGGAAAGCTAGGAGAATACTCGTTAGGAAACAGGCAATGAAATGCAAGCACATATGTAACTATAGCTGGCTAGCTAGTTGGTAAATTTAAGATGAATGGAGCTGCATTAAGTAGAAGTGCATTTCGCGCACACAAGTACACAAGGTGCATACCATTCTATGCGGCACACACATAATGTGCAACACAGCTAAGTTTCACTAGTGTACAAGTAGCTATATAAATGTATTAGAGGCTTCCTTCACAGTATGCGTGTTGCCATTTACATGTATATATGTGCATATATATATTTTTATATTTCGCGTGTGCATACACTTTCGATGCATTTTGTCTCTTTTCGGCATACGATTTAGAATTTGTGTGTAGGGTACAAATTTTGGGGTAGCAACGCATGCAACAGCAGATGCAGTGATTGCAATTTCACTCGCGTCTGCATTCGGTATGTGGTGTCTGTCGTTGCACTGGCAGGATTTGCTTTGGCGCCTAAATATATGCACATAGTTTTACATATATTGCATTGCAGTTACGACTATTCGACGCCAGAGGAAATCAGACTGAAATGCATTTGATGCCAGCCGATGGAAAAAGATATTCAATGGACGCTCTATCGCCATCGTTTGAACCAAAATAGAGGGACAACTGTCAGTATCAGCACCTAACATTAATGCCGTTATGTTACAAGAACCCTTAATGTTGTTGTTTCGTTGTATTTGCGTTGTGTATATAAAGAAGTATATATTTACTTCAGAGCATATATAATCCTTAGGGTATTTCGCTAAATATCTGTACAAACCGTATGTGACTGGAATCGCATAATGTTACGTCGATCCATAATTTAGAATAATAAGGGTGATAATCAGTCAGAATTTGTTTAAGCATAACACGAGTGTAACTAAAACAGTTGCTTCCTTTTAAGATTGTGAACTCCAGATATGCAACTTCCAAATTTCGTTTCAATTTAGTATTGGCTAACCACTTTCCTATATATCGTTAGATACTAACATTTAGAGAGGATTCAATATTTTTTCATACATTTGAAAACCACAGCCGCCGATATAGCCTACATAGTCTAACTAAATGGAAAGGCCTACCAAAATCCACTATTGGAGAAGGGCATGTGTGATGGTTAGAATTCACATTGGATTGAAAACACATAAACTTCGGACAGGCTATGTTCATATCCAGCTCCTCACACAATTACATGAATATATATACAGTAAGCTGACAACACGTATCTAGATATGTGTTTGTACATGCTGCATGCCGCACTTGCATACAGGCGCGTTGCAACTTTTTGTTGGCTTGCTCTCCTTTGCGAGTGCATGTTTCTACTCGTATGCTAGCTGCGAGTGTGCAGGTATATAACGGTTCCTTGTATGCGCCCATATAGAATAGGAGGGTGGGGGGTGCTAGCGAAAAGCTGGAAGATGAAAACGGCAAGGCATATTGAGGCTGCAACTCTACTTAAGTACAATTCATATAGTGCGTTTGGCAGCAGCAGCGGCAGTGGGTTGCTTGGGCTGAAGGAGGTGGGGGAACTTTCGCGCGCGTAATGTCCAGCAAAAAACAAATATTGCGCGAATACAACAACAACAACCGGAGAATGCAACATACATGCAGCAAGCATGGCATGACTACAAGAACAACGATGAGAACAACGATGTTAGCGATGGCGATTGCGGCGTGAGCGGAGCGCTGTAGGTGGGAATGGTAGCGGCAACGTCGCTGTCTACCACGATGGCAATGATGACGACGATGAATGCGCCGCCGATCGCATCCATCGTCCCGGAATCAGTTGGCATACGGCTTTTAGACGTCTTTTGAGTACAACATTGCTTTTTTATATTCTCGGTAAAACACACAAACGCAACGGTCGGGTATCTCTGTAACGCACGGGCGCCTTGCCACGCAACGTAGTCCAATTGTCAAACACCAAACGAACGTTGTTCAGCTAGAAAGTAACCAAACTCATCAGCATTAAATTGTAATATAAACATTAATACATTTGATTAAATAAAAAATATTAAAAATCATAAAGTCAAAGTGTGCTCAACGCACGCGTTCTTGGCAGTACCATCAGCAACAGTCGCTACACTGCCACTGACTGAATGGAAGCGGCCAACGAAGAAAGCACTACGGAGCTGCTTCTTATATTATTTTCTATATATATAATATAATATATACATAAATATATGTATATATATATATATAATATATATAAAATAAGTTGCATCTTATACATACAAAATCGAGTGTTGTTGCTGCTGAATTCTAATGCTGCGGCTGCATAACGTGCGTGTGTGTTTCCATAAGTGAGTGTTGGTGCGCGTAGATACATAGGTAGCAACGACGAATACATATAAAAATAATGTTTAATAATTAATTGCATGAAAATATATATACATAAAAATAGGTTTACATATCCTATGTATGTGCATAAACAAAACATGAGTGAGCGGTAAAAGTGAGCAATGCCATATGAAAAAGTGATGTGCCCAACCACCTTAACTGTGTGACTCTGATAAGATGATATGCTATGCGATGTGTTAATACCAGTTTATTACCAAAAGCAAACAAAAAATATTCTTACATAAAATATAGAAGTAAAAACTTACTCTAAATAATAGGAGACTTCGCGATTTTTTATTCAACCTATGAAAGCAAAACTTTTTATTAGGAAAAGTAAATAAAATTTTCTCTTTACGATTAGTTATTGCAAACACTAAATTGATACAAGTAATATATATAATACGCTAGTTTTAATCCACACAAGCCGACATTATACGGCGATTAGGTTAGTGCTACCTGAACTGATTTTGTTTCAAACGATCCGCTGCAACTTTATAACAGCCATTAAAGGTTCACAAATCGCATCGCCGGCGCCGCCGTTCCTGTCGTCGTCGCCGTCGCCGTTGTTGTCGTCCTTCATCGAGCCTGTGTTCACTGTGTTTACTCATTAAATTCAGTTCTGACCTCAAAATAACGTTTCAAAACCGTTCATACGTAAATCAATTTAAGTGTCAATTTTTTTAATTCATCAATAAAATAAAAACCAAAAATTTTGCAAGAAATGTGTTTAAAACTGCGAATTTAGTACTCCTTCAAAGTAAAAATTCTATCGATATTTATATGAGGGATGTGCCGCGGCGGCGACGACTGATCACAAATGTTCATCAAGAGCAAACAAAATAATCACATGGGTTTGTTGCCACTGTTGCTGAATGAGCAGATTAGCAGGCAGATTGTTAACAACTATAAACAACATCAACAAAAATACAGCAATTACATGCACTTGACGATACTGAGATCCCATCTAAAAAAACTAATTAAAATTATGGATAAATAACATCTATAAACCGTCCTGTAGGTGAAATAGCTTTTTTCGAATTAATATTAAATTTAAAATTTTTCATTCTTACCTATGTCTTAATAGTGGTTAATCTAAACTTGTAAGACCTAACACAGATTACCGGAGATTTTAAATCAATTTCAGGAGAATTTACGAAGTAACATCAATATTAAAAATATGTTCGAAGGAAAAAAACCACCCCAGAAAGAAGTTTTGGATTCGCTACTGTCTCTGGTCTACTTAAATGTAAAAGAAGTAAAAGTCTATTTAAGTGAGATGTAACAATATTGCACATGACTCAGTATTTTTAACTCAAGAAACGAGTGTTAAGCATTTGGTTTGTTAAATCTAACTGAATAAAGTGCAAAACTTTGAAAAAGGTCAAAAGAAATGTTAAGCAAATTTTTAATACGCATTTGAACTCAAGATTTTTACCATGAAGTACATTGCATAGTGGTTTCTAATGATCTAAAAATATTGACACATTTAATTAGGTATGATGAAGTTATTTGCTAATTAATTATAAAGTAATGTTATTAGCAAAAAGTGTCCTAACTCCCTGATAAATATATTACTTATTACTTATTACAATACGAAAAAAGTAAAAAAAAATTCTTGATTCAGTATTACGATATACTGGATATACATTTATTGATATGTATATGTGGTATATAACGATCATAAATAATTAGAAATATTCAATAAGACTTAAATGCTTTGAAAGCAATATTTATATTTATATGGCATGGAGATTCAAATTCGTTTTTAAAAGTTTTGCTCTTCCCTCCCTTCTCTTGCTCACTGCACTATTATCTCATTTTAAGGCCGTTGAATTAATATTTATTTGTCCGTTTCTGGAGTTCAAATGCTTTCCAAATTTATACTACAAGTATTAGTATTAAGCTTTCAAGTCTGGATTTAATTCACGTTAGATATCATTATACATCCTCCTTCGTGCATTGTAAAATTGTGTCAATCTAAAGTCAAAAAAAAACCATACACATTTGCTCCACAAACGAATTTATTCTCCTTAAAATATCTAAGCAAATAAAAAGGGGTATCCGTTGCTACCCCGTGGTCTTCACTGAAAAGGAACTTATCTAAGCAAATTAATATTTGAGCTAAGGATTAAAGACACCCATCGTGTTCTCAGCTGCGTTATCTTGAAACGCAGAGTAGGAAATCTTGCCGTTAACAGCCTGGTGATGAGCCACCACTAAATAACAAATAGAAACTGATTTGCTACATAACAAAATGAGACAAAACATGTTCGCTTTGCTCTAAGAATTCCTCCATTCACATCAGCGGGCCAAAAATGAAATGTTCAAAACTGAACTGAAAAAACCTTGAGTATTTGCCTCACCACCCATTGGGGTTGAATCTAGCTCAAACCAACCGCTATGCGGTAAATCGAGTACCCAGAGTAGAAATTGCGTTTGCACTCGCTTAGTGTGGCGCTCTCTATAGTGGAAATAAGTACAGAGGGTGGTAACAGGTGTTAGGCGAAGGATGTAAAAAGTTACGAGAAATGCACCAGCATATATACTACATAACTATTTAAGAGAGTTGTAGCCACACCAACACACGGCTTTTTTGACGCTCTCACGGCTTTTGTATAGGTATACACATACACAGGTACAAGTAAATGTTATTTAGCCCATTTCTGGTTCTCGCTCTCTGATGCGCGCGCATACTACACCGCTAGAGTATTGCCAGCCCCCTCAAGCCCGTCTAGAATGTGTTTAGAATGTGAGAGTGAAGAGTGGCAAATGGTAGTGATGCCAACAGGCTCAGCATCAATCTTAGTATCTTCTTCATGCCGCACTAAACAATGCTGCCGCTAACCCTGACGCCCCCTATACTTCGCTTACATGCGTTGCAATCGCTGTACATGGAAAGCCAACTCCACTCCACTCACGCGGCGAATGCGCGACTTTTTCGTTCGATTTTCTGCCACTTTTTCATGCTTTTCGCCGTTTTCCGCCAGCCTGCCCTCAGCGCACACCACCACGACCCCTGCTTCATTACAACCAGTTTCACATATCCGCAAACAAATGCACATCCACACAAACAATGGACTTCCTTTGCATGTGAGCGCGTTGTGACCGTATATATAATTCAAATAGCTGTTTTTTTTCGTTTTTGATTCGCGCGCGTCGTCGATGGCGTCGCCGCGAACTATACGCGCCACCAAACAACCGGGCTAAATGATTTTTTCGATTTAGTACAAAGCTTCACATCAACGTTGTCGTACAATTTTTTTAATTTTTCGCGTTTTTCAATTTCGTTTTTCTGTTGTTGTCCTCTTTAACACACATTAACCGGCTAATTAAAGTTAACTAAGTACATTGAAAAACTAAACAAATATATATAAAAGAAAAACCAATTATTATATCCAAAGTTTAAAAACAACAATTTTCGAAAATCAAAAAGTTAAACGGGAAATTCATTCAAGCCCAGATACTAAAGAAATTTGAGACATTTTTGAAAATTCAAGTCCAACAGCGAAACAAAGCTAAAAACTAAAAAAGTTGACTCAGTACGACGAAATGGACGAAGGTGTAGTGCAATATTTGCTGTGTACTGTAAAAACTAGAATTTAACAAAAATGCAAGCGTTTGTAAAAGTTGATAACGACGAAATATCAGAGAAACACTAACAACCAGGGTAAGAATAGAGTAATAACTTCAGGCTTGCTACGACAACTCCTTTCATTTATCTATGCCTAATACGGCGACATTCACTCCCCGCCAGCGTCAAAACAATGCTTTGAGTAACGTTTTGGGCCGACCATACGCAATCTACGCAGACAGTCCGTACCTGTGCGTATACATTAACGACGACACATATACACTGTCACAACCCGTTCCTCTGTTTGTGAACGCCAACAATCTCTCATCTTCTCAATTATCTGCAAGCAACTTAACTTTATTCAACTCAACTTACGGGGTTACGGTTGAACGGAAGGCAAATGTGCTGCTGCAGCGCTTCCACCACTTTGCTTAGCATGAGAGCGCTCGCTGCTTAGATTTTGGACGCCGTCTCAATCGCCGCACCATTCTGAGTGAGTTTGCCTTAGTGTTGTTCTTCTTTGGCACACACACGAATGAAGAGATGAAATACTTCTCAACTAAAACGTCTGTATGTGTTTCTCTGGCAGCACGCAGAAGCACAAGCACCAGCATCGCCTGGCACAGGGGTTGCGTATACGCCACGGCGACGTGCATGCTTCTTCTAGTTTATCTTAGGCTATGTGCACGAACGGTACTTAAGTGTGTAGCATTTCGTTGTATGTATGTAGTGCCTTGTCTACGTGTGCAACCGTGTCCGTTCGTCGACTTGCCACCTCATTTTGCATCTTCTTCTTTATCATTCACCGAACGAGCTAACAACGAAATGAGACGCACACTAACAAAAACCTAAACCAGAATTTCTACGCATAAATTTACTTCATTGCACTGAAGTGTATACGAAAGCAAATCTGTGTAGCGTACTTGTGTGTGTGTGTGGCTCTCATGGCTTTCGTGGGTATAGCTTCCATATTATTATATGTGCGTTGGCGTTTGTGTGAAGCTTCAGCCAAATGAGGGTGGTAAGTCTCTCCTGCGCGCCCTGCACCATTACATATCTAAATAATATATTTAATATATATTATAATAAAAGATAACCGTCGTGTTTGTACTTGTATTTGTGGGTGTAACTGTGTATCTTATGTTCCAACGAAAGTCGCTGACTCCTTCTGTCACATGCGCTTGTACTTATCTATGCGGTCGAACTAGAAGAAAGTGTAGCTAACTCGTAGGAAAACGACGTCAGCTTCTCCGCTTTTATTACACTTCAGAAATTTTGGATAAGTGGGGGGTTACGTGCGAGTGCGATGCTTTCAGCATATGCTTATCCTCATTTCTAAAGTCCTCAGCAGTCCTTCTCACCGTTGGATTTTGTATACGATAGAGCTGCTGCTCAAGTTATCTGCCTACTTTCTGGAAGCACAACTCCACGTAATGATACTTGGATTCATTTTATTTTGTGCGACACAGAGTCTTAGACTGTCACAACAAATTCCATAATTTAGTTCGTTTCAAGTCTCCCATGCTGTAGTGTGTGTGTGGCCAAATCGAAAGATTTCATTGACAAAAAATAATACCGTAATAATAATACTTTAAATACAAAAATTATATTCGAGAAATAAAAGCATAAAATATTTAAATGAATTCTGATTTTTTAATTGTTAAAATTAAAGTAAATTAATTAAGCAAAACTACGACTAGCTTGAGGCTCGGAAACTGACAACAAAATATATTAAATTAAATAAAAGCCGTTAAAAATAGATGTTTTAAAATATGTGGAACAGTGTTTGAATATTTGATAAAACTGCGATAAAATGTGACATTAATAAAAAAAAAAAATGTGGAAAGGAAGTTATCTGACATCTCGCAGAACAAAGCGTTCGCGCTCACATTTCCAAGTGTAAACAAAGTAGTGACAGCGAATCAGCATGAAAGTCGGCCTCTCAGAAGTGAATAACCATATCTATTACTTTTATTTTGAGTAACAAAAAACCGTTAATGACAGCCAAATCACTGCTTCACAAGCCATGACACTAGCCAACCCATAGAGTGGTCTCTACCAGTCCTAAGCCGCGTCAAGTTCCAAGTGCGTCTAATACACACATTTCTTATTAATTTAGATGTGACGCTCTTTAGCTATATAGTCAGTAAGAATATGCATGGCCTATATCTGCTGAGTATATTCAGCACCAGCGGCAGCATAGAAAAACGCGCCTTCACTCGCCTAAAGGCGGCCATAAACTCTCACGGTGCTACTTGGTTGGCTGATTATTTTCTTCTATCAGCGTCTTAACTTCTGCACTCAATTTCAATGCATCATGTACTCGCAGCCCGCAACTTGCTTTGCGACAAACTAATGTACGCTCTCGGCTCTTTTTGTCTATGCACACATACATACACTGCTTAGAGGGTTGAGACAAGTCAGTATTTTAGATAAAAGGCACCACCACGCGGACGGGCGAGCGCAGGCTTTCTTCATACTTAATTTCAATATATATAAATATTGTATATATTTCTATAGATATACATACATATATAATATATAGCAGCGCAGATATAATTTATTGAAGACACGCATACATTTGATTTGGCATAAATGAAATGGGCTAAAGGGATAACTCGAAGTATGCCTTAATGCACGTATGTACGAAATAAGTAGCGTTTAAGTGAAGGCAGGACGAACAGGCGAATGAACGGAAATTTGTTTGGTCGGTTACTAACTATATACTTTAATATACTCACTCGGGTGTCGAGTGTCGCTCGTTGTCTACAATCGATCCGCTCGGACTTTCGGTCGGTCGGTTGGTTGGTCGTAATGCCCCTCCACCAAACCATATACGATCTTCTCTATTATACTACATTATACTTAATTTATTTTTTTATTTATCTATTCAACTTTATTTGCTTGGCCATTTCCTACAGCTATTCTTCTGCACCAGCTTCACGCTTGCTTCTGCTTGGACTTAGCCTTGTTCTTCTTCTTCTTCTTCCTTTTCATTTTCACATTTTCCTTCGTAACGCTGCAGAGAAAATACAGCAACAAGGGATATTTTATACATTATAGAAAATGAGGAATTTGTTATGAGTCGCTCGCCTCAGCGCATTGGAGATGCTGAGTGAGTGTTTTGAGAAGTGCGATGGTGGGGGCGATCCAATGTGGTCGGCCGGTTAAGCAGCCGGGTATATTGAGCGCTCACTACTTATCTTTTGGGCGAGTGGGCACTGTTAGTCCAAGTGCACCTAAGCAAAAACGTGAATATGTGTGTAACAGTAACTTCTTCGACGATGCTGAGCGCTTGCTAACTGGCTGGTTGGCTGACTGTCTGGTTGCCTGAGAGTTCAGTATAGCAGTGCGACTCCTTCAGCGGTGTTTCGTTATAAAATAATTTTGTGTAAATTATAATATAAAAGGACTTGGCATATTCTTCTTGTGAGACATTCGTCTTGGGGCAGACGAACGCTAAGCGTGCACTTGTACGTCGTTTTCAATGGGTGTTTGTTATCGAGTTTTTGTTGAGTAAAATATTTGTAACGAATTTCAAGAATAAATCGATTGGAAAAAAAGTAAACCAAATTTCATGGAAACCAAATATGAACTAAATAAATTCAAAACAAATTATGTTTTCCAATAAAGTTAAATAATTGAGTCCCCTTTTAAATTATTTCTAAAACTTAGTGAGAATTTCAATCACGCAAAAACGCAGAAAAATAGTGTTCTTAAGTTTAACAATGACAAAATTGTTGCTTGATGTGTCATAAAAATTACTGTTTTGGTGTTTGGTAAATAATGCAATGCGTAATATAATACCGCAAAATGTACGGAAAATGTAAAATGTGATTTTATAGCATATTTCTGGCGTTTCTACACACGATTAATAATTTTTTTAAGCAGAAAAATGTTGTACAAAAGATTAAAAAAAAAATTTATTAAAAAATAATAAAAATAAACATAAAAAGATTCCTTTAAAATTAAAATTAATTTTAGTGCATTTGGAAAAATTTGAAGATGCGATCTTTGGAACTCCAAGCATCTTTAAATGTTAGATAATTTTTTTTTAGCAACAGTGAGATAGTTATTTTATTAAACTAAGTATTGCATATTGAAGTAAAAATAAGTTATATTTATGTGCACTGAAAATGTTAAAACTAATCTAAATATGCTGAGCTTAATTACAATAATGTGTATTTAAAATTAGGGATTAGTTAAATTAGGACCTCAGGTTTTTTGAAATACTATTACTTTAAGCAAACTCAATAGTAAAACATTAAGTGCCTACTGTGGTATGCTGAAAACTCCAGAAATATGCATAAAGTCACCTGCAATTTTCTTTAAATATAGATGAGCGTGAACATTTCGAATGTAAGTATTGCATATAAAATAAATAAAAAAAAGTTATACATCACCGAGACTGTAAATTGAATACCAGTAAATGCAGAATAAGTAAAGCAGTAATAAAAACGCGTGCATACATTTAAAATATTTAATTCTAATTATGGAAAGTAATTGAAACTAATTCAACGTCAAAAATGCCGTTTAAAACTGCATATAATTGGACCACGCTTCACCCTGTAATAACGCCGTAACCGGTGCAGTGCGGTCGTTGGGAAATCTAAAAATGTAGTTGCCGACGCTTCGTCATTATTATACTTAACGTTTCTATAATTTGTACGTTCGAAATGCAGATGGACGAAATTCATTGCATACCCCTAGGTTGACATGTTGATTACGGTGTTAGTTTTTACGCGCGCATGATTTTGTGTTGCATACTTTTCGGCGCATATATCGATTTTTATGTTGATAGTTGATTTCCGTTCATTGTTATTTCCTCGTCACCTTATTAACACCACAAGCAACGGCGTGTTGTGCTTTCGGTTTCATCCACCTTCCTCTCTACGCCTTCATCCGGCTTTACCCGTATACGACAACGAAAATTGGCGGCAATCATATGCATTGCCGTTCTTTGGATGTGTTTCAGTGTTTTTGTTGCGTGCATCGCTCTGTTGTGAATACCAAATTAATGTGCCAATAAATAAAGCAACAACTACTACAAACAAATATAAAAAATCGGTAGCTGTAATCGGTAATGAAAGTGAAGTGAAAAGCATTCAGTGCAGCGAAACGCAGAAAGTCAAACCGAACTGCGAATTAATGCCAGCATGTGTATGCTGCCACTGTGTTGTTGTGTGAAGTGTGCGCCGACAGCAGCGAAGCAACCGATACACCTGTATGTTTGCTATAAAAAGTTCACAACAGAATGTATGAAACACAGCACATAACTCAAACGGGCGCGTAGATGTGTGAGTGTGCGTAAGCTGGATAAATTGTTGGGTGCCGATACTTGAAGGTACCGCTAGAGCTTCAACAACAACAAATGGATCATCGACGTCTACTAAGTCAGCTACGCCCACATTTAAATGGTCGCCCATGCAAAGTCTAGCTAAGTTAGTTTGTCCAGTGCTGGTTCATCCTACGACTTTCGTCCATATTGTGGCCCTGGCTGTGGATCAAACACAACCGCAATCGCCGCCGAGAATGCTGCTCGCGCTCTAGCTACTGCAACGGTTGAGTGCTCGGGCGCTTGAGCGTTCGATGGCAGCAACTCGGAACCACGCTTCTTCGTTTTGTAAAACTCTAAGGGTAAAATATCGAAAGAAAGTATTGGTGCAATCACATAAACAAAATGCCTTTGAAAATTAAAAACTCATAACATATAATAAAAATTTAAATGAAAAAACAAAAATTATATATGTAAATACATTCGTAAACGACAATTTATAACTTATAGCCAAATATAACGGTTGGCAAGAAATTGAGTAGACATTGGTTTAAACCGAGGCATATTTTTGCAATTTGTTGAAGTATTCAACATTTATTTGTAGCAACGGTTAAGTCTCTAATGTCATGTGTAATGCTATTTTTGTTAAATCTCTAATAGCAATATGGAATATGTTATTGTTATATTATTATTTACTTTATTATATTTTTAGACATTTAGTATATAATAAGTTCGGTTTTAATTGAAATTATCAGGGTTATAATGTATTTTTTATTAATATATTATTGTATATTAACAAATACTTCCGTTCTCTTCTGTTCGTTAGCATTTATTTAGACGATTTTTTATATCTTTATTTATATTTGAATGTATCTTAAATGATTTTGATGATTATAATAAAGTTATTTTTTTTAATTTCGATAAATTTTATTTATTTAATTTTTTTTGTTTTCGACAAACTTTGTTTGAAGAATTAATTAAATTTAAAAAATATTGCAAATTTAACATTTACATATATATTAAACATAAGTATCGAGACAATATTGTCAGAGAATTGGATTTAGATAATTCCAAAACTGCGCGGAAACATCAAATCACTACAAAACTTTCAATACAACCTATAAACTTCTTCAAAAACACAGCTATTATACTATTTTAAACTAGTAATTGTTTTAAGAATTTTCATGTATTTTCATCATTACAAAAATTACATATTTTTAAATTTTTTATTAGTAGTAATAAATAAAAAAGTAACAAGTAAAAACTTATATTATGTAACTAAAAATTAGTATCCTAGCATTTTTATAAAATATATTAATATCAAAAACTGTATTTAAGCTCTGCCAAAGGAGAGTAAAGTGGATTTTTGTAGACATGTTTTCACGCATTTCCTTTTCAATAAGTTTAATGAAATTTAATTTGTGACTAGTATTTTTTTTTTGTTTTGCTTTAATTTAGTAAATTTAATTTACTTTGAATTTTTTTTTTTTATATATCTTATTATAATAATATTTTTTTTTTGTTATGCTATGGTTTGATTTTTACTTTCCAGATGATTATTGAAATTGTAGGCGTTTTATGAATTGACTCATTAAAAATCTTCAGTGATTGTGCATCTTGTGTTATTTTCTTATCAGTAAAGTCTGACGAATTTCGAAACTGCCAGTAAACATATGTTTCCATTACCACTTGAACTGCAGAAAGCTGTAGAATACTCGAAAGGGGCGTTTTAGTTTCGGTTTTAATGAACAAAAACTCTGGCGACTGAGAAATAACACTCAATTGCAAAACCCTAGGGAACAATTGCTACAGTGTAAACAAAACTCTTCGAAGCAAAGAAGTTGTAGTGATATCTCATAACTTAATCTATTAAATTTGACAAAACCAAAATATTTTATATGCATATATACCGACATAAATATCTAATCACACATTCTCTCGTACTTTTGTAAATAATTTCAGGTTACACCATATTGAGAAGTTATCCAATGAGAAAGCCGCTAACATTTTGGTAAGTACATTAAAACTAACGTTTTTGAGAAAACCGGTAACTGCTATGTCAACACTAAAGGTATTTCGCTTTCCTTTTTGACACTGCTCCGTTTAAGAAACATAAACCCACAAGAATTTTTAAAATTATGTAATAATACTTAAATTCTCTTCATATGAAGAATTTTAGGATTCCAGTTTAGGATTCAGAAAAATACAAATTATATTAATTTTCAATCAGAAATAATTTAGCATAAGAAACTTAAGAAAATTTAAAATAATAATATTGAAAAAGTTCAAATTTTTCTCTGGACCAGTTAGTACAGTAAATATATATTCGAACCTTTCTCTATACTAATATTAACCAAAATTTCTATTATATATTTGAATATTGTGGCATTATATTTTTCTAACAGTGCTGGGATGATATTTTGAAAACACTCGCGTGCGTTATTTGCATAAGATTTTTATTTGAAAATTTTCTCAATATATAAAATAAATGCGATTATTATCAAATGAAAAGATGCGTAGCCTAATTCTTTAATTTATGTAATCCATTTAAACTCAAGTTTTTTAGTCATTTTCAACATACTCGGCGTTTATTGGTGCAGATCCCTAGTACATGCATGTTCTTCCTTTTTGCTTCATAAACTTTTTACTATTAATCAACATTGCATAAGTTATCCTGCTGCTAGCAACTTCAATGGATGCTGTGCAAGTGCTAACACATCCATATGTATATTTATACTTATAGGTCTAAGCTTGAAAACTTGTATGTTCATGTGAACAAGTCGGTTTTCATTTAAAATTTACCACAAATAGCCTAAGGTCCACTTACTTAGGCCAATGAAAAAAATATAATAATGAAAAGTAGGCACTTTGGTTGCAACCTTAAGGGGCTGGCAACGAACGCATTCAATTTCAAGGATGCTAGCAATAACCTAAGAAACCCGACAAAACGGCAAAGCAAAGATTTTTTTTCTTGAGTTAGTCATTTTAAGCAGCCACACGTTACGCGCTCTATTTGTATGTATTTGATATGTATATTTGAATTTATTATTAACCATTAAGAAGTCAGGTGGGTTTCAGAGGTTCAGAGTATTTCCACTATTTTCTTATATGGATATACAAATATATATTTATTTTAAACCATTCAGCATATAAAAGCTACATATTTCAACAGTATTTTGTAATATTTTTATTTAAAAATTATGTCAACTTAGTCGTTAAACTTAGTCAAAAAAATGTCCTTGCCGCGGACAGCATAACATAAAATCAAAAAACCAAAAATATTTCGTTGGAACATGGATAAATCTCGAAGTAAAAAAAATTATTAAAATTTTAATTTTTGAAAGACGTTGAACAAAAAATCAAATTGTCGCCTGTAGTATTGGCGCGAAAAAGTTTGTTGTTATAAAAAAATAAAAATTCTTTGCTTAATGACTAGAAATGCTATTTCAAAGATGTGTGTAAAATTTAAACAAAATCGCTTGATACATTTTCGAGAAATCGTGTCCACTGCCTTAAAAATTTGTATTTTGTGATAAACGCGATTAAGTTCCAAGCAGTGCAGTGACGTGGCGTGATAGGCGAAACTTCCGAAAGTCATATCGTTTAGAATTTTATTCTGATCGATCTGAAATTTCGAGAGAATATTATAAACATATTGTACTATTTAATTAGAAAACAAAAGAAAACAAAATCAATTTTTTGAAGCCCCTAAATAATATAGTTAAATTTTTTTCAATATTTCGCACCATCTAAAAATATCTTAAAAATATTATAAAACTAATTAAGTTTTGATTGACATTCTAAAAGAAAAAATTATTACTTTTAAATATTTATATATCAGTAAAACTACAAGTATAAATAATTTGAATATTTCATTTTGAAATTTTCTATTTATGCATATGTGTTTTACGGCAATATACGTTACCTTCACAGAACCGTTATTTACTTTTTCATGTTTTTATTTTGCAAGTTTCAAAATTAACAAGGCTATTCTAAAAAAGAAAATTGTTATCAAAAAAACTTCACTTTTTTATTGCTGGTTAACTATAAGGGTTAATGCCCACACATACATCTGCATTTACTAATACGGCTAAGTTACTTTGCATTGCAGTTTGCCAGCGTTGCTTACGTTGTTGGTCATATGCAACGAGAAGCAGCTACAAATATACGTAAGTAGGTAAAAAGAAAAAATTGTTCGAAAGTAGTACAGTTATTATGAAAACATGTTATGAGTATTCCTACACATACATATGAGCTCTCATGTGTACATACAAACGTTACTGCATATCCTACCAAGTTCAAAACACAATGAAAGGTGTAAGTATACATACATATACTTGTACACAGTAAACTTGAAGATAACAGGAGGAGGAGAGCAGCGAGCACTTGGAGCAAAGACATGCTTGTGACGTGGATTTCCTTGTGTTTTGTCATTTAAGCTGAAAATAATTGCAACTGCTTGTAATGTTTTCCTTCTTAGCGTTGCTCACAACCATTCCGCTTAAATGAAGCGACTTTTCTAGGTGCTTACAGTCGGAAGGCAACAACAACCCCATCCGTTGCCATTTTACAACACTCTGAACTCGCTGCACTTTATTTGTTTCACAATTTCCAACTATTGCAATGCGCAATAGTTGCTTTTGTTGTTGTTTTAAGTTATGCTTACATCCGTTGAAGCACATACTTAAACAAACTTACGCATGTGTATGAGTGGTACAATTTTCCTAGGACAAGTTCACATTTTCCTACTGTACATACGTAGACATATACTGGCGAACCTATTTTGCTTTTAATATCTTAGAATTAATAAAAATGTCAGCAAAACGGAAGCAGAAATTTCATCTAAGCATTGCAGAATATTGAAAAAAAACTGTTTGTCTGAAGTTTCAAATCGAGTCCTTAATAATATATGTACAGAATTGGTTGTTTTTGTTTAGAAGTTGCAACATATAAAAATATATTTAATATACATATACATATGTAAACATATCCAACCTGTATACGACATTCTTGGGTAGAGGCACTCGTCTAACCCGGTTTGTAGTGTAAGATATCAGAGCGATATTGCGACCTTATAAAATATATATATAAATCAGCATCGATTTAGCCATGTCCGTCTATCTATTTTTTCCACACGTTCTTTTCTCTCCAAGAAGCTGCTTATTTGTCGGAATCGCCGATATAGGAGAACTAAAGGGTATAGCTGTCATACCAACTGAACGGTGGGAATCAAGTCTTGTATGGAAAGTTTTTTTCATTTGACGAGGTATCTTCATCAAATTTAGTATGGGTTATTGTCCAAGGCAATGGTGTAATCTCCGAAGAACTCGTTTAGATTGAGTCACCATAGCATATAGGTGCCATACAAACTGACCGATCAAAATCAAGTTTTTGTAAAGAATATTTTATAATTATGTTGTATTTATATTGTATTCGTATAAATTAAGCTTTTGGATCGAAATTTTAGCTACATACATATGTAATTGCATGATTAAAAAGTTATTGATATATCTACCAATATTTTGACCTTTCCCTTTTGCTGTTTTTATACATAAATTATTTTACATAATATTACTTTACAAGATATTTTAGGAATAAAAAAAGTAGTGGACGCATATTGTTCATAATCGTATATATAAGTTTCAATAGTCAATTTAATTTTGGTATAATAATAAATTTGTTAAAGAAGTAAATTTAATTTATTTTATGGGCTTCCTAATGATTGATTTTTTAAAGTGAATTAAATTAACATATGAATGTATGGTATAATTCATCGTTTAATATTTTTAGATTCGAGAGACAAGGCTATTCATATGTATTTGTGCACTTGTGCTTAGCTTACCTTACCTCTGTTTTCTAGCAAATTGCCACAATCCAGTTTTTAAGCTGATTAATTTTTTTCTTTTCACAAGTTTTAACGAGGTAGAAATGTACCGTTTGTCGATAAATTTGATTAACTCATTGTATCCTTTCTCTATTTCAATTATACGAGTAATAAAGTTCTCTAAGAATTTTCAAGCGTTAGGGGAACAAAATAACAAGTACTTTTACATTTCTCTCTACGTTTACTTAATAATATTTATTGAAAATTTAATTCAGATAATAATTTTAGTATTTAATGCTTAAACTGGATATAAGTTATTAGATATAGTGTCTCATTATTTACATATATACCATATGTATGTATGTACATGTTTACATAACTATGTATTTGTATACATACGTATATTTTTCAGTGAATACCTTCAACACACAAGTAAACCCATTATGAAATTTTAGCACAATATGTTCTACCATATACTCATATGTAAGTGTGTGTATGTGCAAAAATGAATCTAAGTACGTTCTGAATTTATAAAGCGAGACCGTAAATGCGCAAACAAGTAATCAACAACTGCGATCGTTGAAATTGTCTCGTTCACGATCTCCAAGTTGCACGCCTGGGTGAGCATTTAGGTTTCTATTCGTTCTAAACATGATGAGTAGTCGCGGCGTCTGTTCGATTCTTTGATTTTCCAAATATAACGGGCGGATTGGGTAGCCACCTGTAAGCTTTGTACTACCACATAGCCACTTGTGGACCCGCGGTCGTGCTATTCCGAGTAAATTTATAAATTAAGTCGGTAAATTACTTGTAGAATATGGAACTGACAATTTGGAAAATATTTTTATTCGCGCGTATATGTACATATATTTATATGTGTATAGGTATATTAGGCATATGTATGTGTGTATATGAGGCACGTGAAAAATATAAAAACAAAAAACATTAAAAACTTTGATGTCAACAACAGCACATGGCAATCAAGTATAATTTATTTCAAATTGAGATCGGCCATGTATCCGTTAGATAGCTATGCTGGTACGACAAGTGTAGCATCAGTCGCTAAAGCATGAAAACAGTAGCCAAAGTAAAACGTAAGTTGCAGATATACTATTAAACCTACTTTCCATGCATGAGTGCCGGGAATTATTTAGCTAAATTGAACTTAAGCTCCGACTACGTTGGCC